TCCTGGAGTCAAGTGAACGACGATCTCTTCAGATTTTACTGATTCGCTCTCAACTTCGCTTGATTTTTCTTGAACTAGAAAAAAGAAAGAGAGTTAGTAGCAAAGTTTTATGCAATAAAGCAGCATACTGTCACTCTCAGAGAGAGGAAGATCTGTGTCTTTCAATTCTACATAAAAAAGTATGCATAGAATAAATGAATAATGAATACAAACCTTCTTCTTCTGAAGCAGCATCAGTCTCTTCTTCTTTAAGAGGCCCTATAACAAAAGTAAGCATTAAACATACAGAGTTGAATATAGTGATTAGTGAAACCTGGTTGAACAGGAGCAGGGGCTTCCTCATCTTTCATTGGAGCAGTATCTAAAATTCTAGATAGAGGAAAGGGTTATATATTATATACATACCATCAGATTTTTCCTCAACTTGATCAAATTCAGTCCCTTCAAATGGTGATTCTACATAAAAAGGAATCATGCATAATGAAGTAAGCATACGAATGCAATTATACCATCACAAGTGGAGAAAGTCACTGCAAAAATGAGAAAAACAGACAAGATAAGAAATCCCTTCATTATTATTCTCTGGTGCCGACTTGAACTATCTCTGTTGAGAGTGTAACTCTGCACTCTGGTTGCATTGCTATATATAACTACAGATGTTTGTGCATCATTATCTGATGCAAAACAATAACACTTTGTCGCGTATATGTACTACATACATGTAGTATATTGGTACACAAATATCAGTGTTTTTATTGAAGTGTACCACAATAGGAAAGAAAACATTGAAATGATTGTTAATTTAAGAAATAAGTTTAGAACACTATCTTTGCCTATTGTGCTAATTATTGAAAGCATCCAATCAAAGCAAGCAAATAATGTGTGTGTTTATTGCTACAAAAACAAAGTTTATTTTAAAAGCAACTTTCAGTCTCAATTTCCATAATAAACAAAACAGTTAAAATCAACACACAGTCAATATTGAATAACAGCAACATTGAATAATTACTTCAAATGTTAGAATCTATAAGTTCTGTGAATGATATATACATTCATGATTTCAACAGAGTTGGTTACATTTTCTCTTTTTCTGCTGTAACTGGATCAATTAGCAACTTCTGGTGAAATGTTAATTGGGTACAGACTATGAATATACTTTAAAACCATGGAAACTATAAATTATATACTGACAAAGTAACATTCATAGTCTGTTGCCACACAATGATGAGGTTTAGGGGAATCCACCATGCAGTTAGATGCAACTTTTATAGTACATATATGCATAACACAATAAATTCAGTACAGATCCAGGCTCCAGCAAACTTTTTCACTCCAGCAAGAATTTTGGGACTGCTAGTATGAGCTTTGATAAGGTATAAGAAATGAGAATTTTTAGTATAAATATATAGATCTATTATATAGGTTGTCACTATTAGACATGATCTTAAAGTGACATCATTTATCTTTGATGCACTCAATTCTTTTGTAACACAGGCTGTACTAGCAGATAGTGACATCAATAACACTACTGGACTCAATGGAACTACTAGTAATGATGACAGAAAAAAAAATGAAACTATTGTGTTAAGTGTTTTTGGTTCCTTGTATTTTATTGCCTCTTTGATGCATTTCATTATATTTGTTGTGTATTGTCCCTTGAGAGATCAAAGTTGGACTTGTGACACATCACGTGATGGCATCATAAATCGGGTTAAGGATGAGATTTGTTATGTGTATAGAAAGTGCAAGAATTTCAAAGTTATTGTGATGCTCATCATCAATTTCTTGCTACTTTTATCTACTTGGTCCTGTTTTGTTGGAGACAATTTGCACTCATTTGGAACTCTAACTGAGAATACAAGGATTACTTCAATAGTAATGCTTTTTGCTGGACTCACTGGATATCGCCTCATTCCACTAATTAAAGAAAAAGTCAAAGACTTACATGAAGAATACAGAAACGATGATCAAAATAATGACAATCAAAATAGTATTAACCATCAAAATAACGATGAAAATCAAAATAACAATTGCTGCATACCAGTATGCTGTCTAAATAAGATGAGGAAGCTTAATTGGAAATTATTTTATGCTACTATTGATATTTTACATTTGGTTCCAGAAATTGACGGCTGGTTTACCAACTTCACTGCATTAGTAGCTCTTACAAATGATGAAGCGTGTCCTAAAAAATATAATGCAGCTTTTTGGATAATGTATGCTTTGGTTTTAGCAGTAACTGCCTCTCTACCTGTTATTGCTGTGATAAATTTATACTGTTTCTGTAAGAAGAATGCACAGCAAGATGATACAGCAACACAGCAAAGCAATCCAGAAAATGCACAGCAAGAGAATCCAGAAAACACACAGCAAGACAACCTTAGAAACAAGCAGCAAAAGTGCCAAAAGAAACTCAATACCATTTATTTAACAATTCTTTCTTTTATTATGCTCTTCATCACTGCTTTATTCCTTATTGGAGACAATACTCAGCCTCTTGACTGTTCGAAGGATGATATGTTAGTTAAAAACAAACTCCGATTTAGTTTTGTCCTTGTGGCACTTTTTGTATATGCCTTAATGCTCATTCTATCTCCAGTGATACGTTACTGCGACTGTTGCATGTCATCCACAATAGTGCCATTGACGGGTGAGACTAGAGAGACTACACCATCAACAAACTAACAGACAGACAATCAATAACATTAACATTAACATTATAGCCAATAACATTAGCCCAAAATTAATGCTGTAAGATACTATGTTATAATTTTGCATTGTAATTTTGCTGAATTTATGTACATGTAGCCCATGCAGTGCTGTTACCACTATAGAAGTTAAATATAACACTATTATTTTTGCTAATTTGATGCTAAAATTATTCTTTTAATATAATATTTTTAAGTTGCAATAGAGTTGCTGCTGGTGAGAGATTTGAATTACTTAGTTTGTAGCTTAAAAAGAGTGATAACTGATAATAGCTATTGGGATATAGACCTATGTACAAAATTTAATGGGGTTATATTAGAAAGTCTTAATTGTGGAAACTTAGCTTGGAATGAGGTACAGAGTCTAAAACAGTCTAAATGCAATACACTTCTGCATGAGTACATGATCAACGCTAATAGTAATCATTAGAAACATTCCACCACACACACACACACACACTGTTGCATGCTGAATATCCTAAAGGGGACGTCTAGGAAAAGTCTATGATGCAGAAATCCAGAATGACTTAGCAAGGATATGAGCAGTTCTAAGCAACAATAGGTTTATTCATGATCATTATTCAATTTACCAGAATGCCATAAATATAATTAAGAATTCCTGTACTACACTATAAGTGAAGTATCAAGGTATAGGCTGCATTCAAGAGACAGTCAGAATGAGCACTGGAAAAGTAAGTAGTTAAAAATAATTTGATCAGTAATAATATGTTTTTTCTTAACAGATTGTAGTTATTCGAAATGAAATTAAGATTACACCCTTCCTTTTTGATGCCTTCAACACTTTCGTGACACAGCTAGTAATAGTAACAAATGGAGACAATGAGACGAATAAATACATCATTGGTGGAGTCATTGGTATATTATATGTAGCTGCCTCAGTATTTCAGTATTTTTGGCATCTACGCTCTCATTACCGTGTGCATAAGGATGACATTAAAGACAATGATAATTGGGAAAGACTTAAATTTGTTACAATGTGCATTCTAAATTTATTTTTTGTTTTGGGTTCTATTTCATGCTTTTTTGGGGATAACTTGCACATTTTTGGAGACCAAGACCAGAAGGCTGGAATTGCTTCTGTATCTTTGCTGTTCATTGGTCTCATTGGATTTCGTCTTATTCCAGCAATAAAAGATGAGATTAATAATCTATTTGAAGATAAGGAAGATGCTGATGATGATGATGATGAAGAGGATCCATGGACGCTATGGAATAAAACTGTTGATATCCTACAACTAGCTCCAGAAATTGATGGCTGGTTCACTCATTTTGCTGCACTTGTGTTTGTTGAGCAGACCCTTGGGCAGGCCTCATCATGTGGAGCTGTATCATTTATTTGCATCTTCATCATCATACTAGCTTCATTGCCAGTATTTCTTGCTATTGGCCACTTAAAAATGATATCAGCAAAGGATAGAAAACCAGAAAAATGGTTCCAGCTAGTTGTTTACATTTTCATGTTTATCATTGTAGTTCTGTCCTTGATTGGTGACAACAGTCAACCACTTGACTGTTGGAGTTCTAAAAATTGCAGCTTTGAGATTACTACCAATAATAGCAGTTTCCTGATTGATGACAATACTTACAATAACTTCACTTTCATGGACACTCAAGCACTTGACTGCAGTGACAACAAAGCAGCAAACATAGTCCGTATTATTTTTTCTGCTTTGACATTTATTATATATTCAGTCTTACTCATCATAGCTAGAATAACTGTTATATGCAATCCTTTCGAAAAAATAAAAGAGTGGTGGGATAAAATAAAAGAGTGGTGGGATGAAAAAAATATAGTGACGCCATTATGTAGCTAATAAAAACTAATACTTACACCATGCTGTGCTGCTACCATTATAGAAGTTAAATATAACACTATTATTTTTGCTATTTCAGTACTAAAATTATTTTTTTAATAAAATACTTTTAAGTTGAAATAGAGTTGCTGCTGGTGAGAGATGATGCGATTAGATCCAGTGAATCAGAACTGACATATTTCTCATCAGAAAATAACAAATCAGGATTCTGAGACATATACCTACAAAGAGATGAGAGATATGAAGAGAAGAGAGAGAGATAGAGAGGAAGAGGGAAGGGAAGATTATGTCTAAACTCACAAAAGTATAAAAGCTAATAAGATGATCATTATTTACGTTAGTAAGTCTTTAAAGTGTTGATTCAATAGATTAATGTGAGTAGTTGGAAACTTGGCCTGAATGAGAAAAAGAGGCATTTTCACTAAAAAAATATCAAATAAAGCATTATTTTCCAAACATAATGAACAAACCAAATAATCTCAATAGATGACTAATGCCATAAACAGATGACGGCATCATGACTGTATCATCATTATTAATATTAGGAGTTCCTTCGTCAGAGTTAACGCAATTAGTGTTAGTCAGGTGACGCTTTTTAGTTATCTCAAGATCATACTGATGCCTCTCTTCGGAGTAGAGTAAGTGATCTCTTAACATGAAATCAAAGTAGATCTTGATTCCATCTAACACTTCTTTAAGTATAGGTATACTGTAGAAGAAAGAAAGAGAAAAGATGGAAGTATTGGATTAAATAAATTAATAATTACATCTATACATATGTATTGAATTACTTAGTTTCTTCAGTAGCCATGTCGTTAGCATACGTCCAATAATTTCTTAATATTGTCTCAACCGACATATCAACAGGAAGAGAATGTAGCTAGAAAAAGTGATAATGGTTTTTGCAATTGAAGATTGTTTCTACCTTTTTAAAATGTACAATCTGAATACAGTCCTGCTCTAGCTTTGCCTGTAAATGCTGAGGCAGTAGCAATGAGGTTTCATCACCAGAAGACTGAGAAAAAAATGTAACACAACCAAATAAAATATTACCCTTACCTCGGCCATGTTTTAAGGCGCGGTCAAAATATACGAGACACACCCTTTTAAAGATGGCGCGTTTCTTAGAGCCAGACATTGGAACAAGAGCTTACCGCCTCGCCACTGGAGTAAACGAGGCCATTATGACCGCAGCCAACGAGCCATCACTGGGTCTGTACCGTCTGCAAGAGCACTGCATCGGTAACATACCCAAACTACTAAAGGAGAGACAATCTATTGAAGAAATCTCAACCAGAGTGAAGGGGAACAACTTTGACTTAACTTATGACATAGAGGCTGTCAAAGAAATGGGCAAAGTAGATAACTTTACTACGGTCATCTCTGACCTCTCGCAAGCCATCAAATTAAAGGAAAGGATGAACACTCGAGAAATGGAGCAGAAGGTGCAGAGTAGGGGGGTAACCCCCCCAAGAACCTTGCCCTCTTATGGTAGTACTGGTGAAAGCCCACCTCTATTGAGAAGGAGTGACGGTTACAGTATTAACGCATCAAGCAGATTAGCTACTCCACCCAATTATCACGGAACTCAAATTCAACCCAAAAATTTTAAGTAGTGCTCTAAAAATTTGTTTTTTTATTATTGTGATTGTTGATAATTGTGAATTGTGTGGGTGTGGTTTGTTATGTAGGCGTGGTCAGTTGAGTCCCATCTTCAGAGTACTCTTTAAGTAGGTCGGTCTCTAAATGTGTGTTGAGTATTTTAGTTTGTCGCGATTTCTTTGAAGTTTTTCGTTGCTGAGTTGGTGCCTGTGGAGAGAAAAAAATCAATTAGTGGTGGGTGTGGCTTTGGATTAATGGGGTGTGGCCATCAATGTGATAGGTAAAAGTGTTTAAAATGTACTTTTCTTTTTCGAGTTTCGCCTTGCATTGCTCCTAGCCCAACTACAAAAAAATTAATTTAAAACGAAGCAAGTAGCACATACTTACCATTTTCAAGATACTTTTCAATGTCTCTTTCAGACTGACCATCCACACTTACCTGCCTCCATTGAGAGACAATACCTAGTGGAGAAAGAAAAAAATCAAGGATATTTTGGAGCCAATTTTCATGGGTCATATAGTCTTCGCTTTGTTTCAACAATTTGACTCTTTTTTCAAAAGGCCCTCCTTTTAAATTTTAATGATAGTACAGGGACTTTCTCCCAATTTAATAGTAAAATTAGGATTATGGCATACTTTCATCGACAGTTATATCGTAATCGTGATTATTATAGAAAACGACTTCTTCATTCTTATCCCTCTCACCGCATTTCAACCGAAATATGTCCTTTTCAAGTTTCTAATAAAAAGCAAACCCAAAAATAGAGTTTAGACAAGTCAATACCATTTAGCTTACGCGTAAAACTTTCTCAGTCTGTGGTATTGCTTCCTTCAAGTCAGTGATACTAACACCTCCCATTCCTTTACTCTCTCTGTCTTGAAGAAATGCCAAGAGTTGAGTCTTGCTGCGAACCTGGTGACCAAGACTAGGCTAAGGGTGAGAGAGAGAGAGAGAGAGAAGTAGAAAAATACATTTGTGGTTCATGCAGATTAAAAAATCAAATCTCCATGCATTATTTTCCCTATTAACATACCAAAAATATAAATCTATCAGCTTCCGAGTAATAGCGTATCTTGCGATTCCTTCTTAGTTCCTATACAACAATAAAAATAATCCTAAAACTTAATATTCATTATACCCACCCACTAAAATATTAAATGCATGTACATGTACTACCAGTCTTTGCAGTACATGCTAGTTGCGCTACCTCATATAGTCTTTGTTTTATTTCACTGTGGAGTTCCTCCAGATCAATCTCTTTTAATATTTCGTCAATGCTCAGAGGATCGTACACTTTGGTGAGGTATCTCTCCTTCATCATGTCCACGACGGCTTTTAGTATACGAGCAGGGTTCTTCCCACGGTGGCCATGTTTAGCAGCTTCTTTAATAGAATCACTAGTGCCTAGCAAAATTTATAAATAATAATAATAATAATAAATAAGGTGTTACCAGTGTGAAGAATATTAGGCTTTGGTCTAGAAAATTGACTAGCTTTCTTCTTTTTCTTTGGCTTAGAAGCAGATGGTCTGCTATCAGCAGTCACTTTAGCTTTTGAAACTTTCTTTTCTACAACTGGTGTGGCACGGGATCTCTTCTTAAAGGCTTCTCTATCTTTTAAAAGCGAAGGATCTATAGCCGCCATTTTGAAGGTTAATTCTAATAATTCCAAACCACACCCATTAATTCTGAAAACCAACATGTCTGCCGTGAATAATAATTATTTTTCAAAAACATCATTGCTTCTTTTCAACAAATTTAAACTACAGGATCTATCGTAGTCTTTTCAGAGACGTATATGCCATCAAGAAACTTGCGAATATCTTTCCTCTTGACTAGTACAGCTTGATGAATCAGAGCAGCTATTTAAAAAAAGAGAAAAATATAAAAGTTTTAAACTACTAACAAAATATACAACTCACCAGATAACGAGACTTTCTCTATGTCATTACCAAACAGCTCAATCTCGTCCTTGACTGTGGCATGCTTGCAGGTGACCCCATCAAGCATCTTGACAACGCGAGTGTACTTCTCTCCGAGGAAGTTTCTAATTTCGACTGTTTTGTTTTCATCGCTCATGTTAATGTTGATGGGGAAATGAGCATAGACTGCCCTCATTCTGTACTTGTATCCCTGGGAAGGAGAAAAACAAATAATTTGTGCTATAGTACAGGAAATTTGGGCCCAATTTTTGAGTAACTTTTAAAATTCATAAAAAATCCAAATTTGATTGGAATCAGCTGAAACTTTCTACACAACATAAGAACATATATATGTATCAGAAAATAATATAAAAATGGAGAATTCTCTACTTTTCAATTTTGGCAAAATTTGGCACAAGACCATGTACTATAGTACAGGGACTTTGACCCAATTTCGAAGCAAATTTAAAAATTCATAAAAAAATCCAAATTTGATCGAAATCAGCTCAAACATTCTACACAACATAAGAACATGTATATGCATCAGAAAAAAATTATAAAAATAGAAATCCTCTCCTTTTTATTTTTGGCAAAAATTTGGCTCAAGACCATGTACAGGGACTTTGGAGCAACTTTAAAAATTCATAAAAAATCCAAATTTTATCGAAATCAGCTTAAAATTTCTACACAACATAAGAACATGTATATGCATCAGAAAAAATTATAAAAACAGAGATTTCTCTACTTTTCAATTTTGGCAAAATTTGGCTTGAGACCATGTACTATAGTACAGGAACTTTGGCCCGATTTTGAAGCAACTTAAAAAATTCATAAAAAATCCAAATTTGATTGAAATCAGCTCAAACTTTCTACACAACATAAGAACATGTATATGCATCAGAAAAAATTATAAAAATACAAAATCCTCTCCTTTTTATTTTTGGCAAAAATTTGGCCAGAGACTTATGTACAATAGTACAGGGACTTTAACTGAATTCCCACAAAACAAAAAGCTATAACCCCCCATTGCTAATAATAACAATGATAATACAACGTACAAATTGAACTCCTTTGATCAAATTGTTCACATGACTGCATATTGTCTGCAGACATGCCAGCTGCTTTCTCTTGGCAAACCAAACATCGACCCTCAACTTGTTACGTCCGACTTTCGTCAATTCACAGCTCAAGTGTCGGAAAGACTTTGTTAGCTCACCCCTTGGGCCTTTGACTGTGACAATCCTATTCTTAGCAGATAGTGTGACTGTAGAAGATAAAGAAAAGGCCATTATTACATATTACAATAAAAAACAGTGAATATTGTGTTCTTTATTTATGAAGCTTACCATTTTTGGGGGCAGTGACTACCTTTGAGCTAAGAATGGTCTTCATTATTAATGTCCTTTTAGAATTCCACTACATAAATAAAAAAAATTATTATTATAATAAAATAATGGAATGATTGTGATAAATATTAATGCTCAATTAAACTACACACATAACAGATCACTAATAAAAATCTCTAGCTATGACATTGCAATACAAAAGAAGATTCACAAAGATTAGTTAGCCATTACTTACACAAAATGGAGTCCCTCCACATGGAACGTTAGAGAATGAAAGAAGGCGGACTTTGTGCGCATGCGCATGAGACACACCCGGTAAATGTGATGTCATGCATGTATACTTTTATTATAATGCATAGATAGTAACAATGGACTCTTGATAGTACCATATACTAAGTACTACTAAATACTGATGACGTTTTGATTTTGCAGCAATAATTTTTTTAACTGAAAAAAACCACAAAAATATTGATTTTAAATGTTTAGTTATCTTTTTAGTAATATGTAGAGTATGCTGGTTTTGCATAAGTATTGTTGTCTCCAGCTTCAAGCTTGTCATATGTAATATCCCTTGTTCCTGCTGGTAGCTTTGGCAATGGTGCCCCATCACGATTGCTTGTACCAACATTAGCTGGGACTTGATGCAACCCTTTGGCATAATGGCTGCCGGACTGCTTCACTTTTACATTAGGATCCAAAACTTCAGGAGGAATATACATCACGTTTTTATTAAAAGGCTCCGGTACTTCATTCCTTGAATTTGACTTTTCTATATTCAACAAAAAAATTATTGAATGAAAACTATACCCATACCTTTTCTTCTTGATTTAATGATACAATAGCTAGCAATGATGATACAAGATACAATGATGATTATAAGAATGATCACGCCTGCAGCTGCTCCTCCAGCTATTTCAGCCAAACTACTTTCAGCAGATCCAGGAGCAGATGACCCAGTACCAGTACTAGTGGCTGAAGGATTTGAACTCCTTGTAATACTAGAAGCAGCACTAGATGTTGTAATTATTTGTTGTGTACAATCAGCTCCAGTATATCCATCATTACAAATACATTCTCCTGGCTGAGTGCATCTTCCATTGGTTGGAGCTATGAAAAGAGATCAAGGTAATAATTATGTTTTATGTTTTATACATGTGATAGCAACAGAAAACATAAAACTGCTCTTTCAATAAACTCTCGTGCAAAACAATAGATAACAAAAAACTCATAGCCAATATGGAATCAGGACATTCCATGTTCACCACTACAGAAGCCATTTTGATTATACACCCTTACACTATACAATACATACATGCATAATAGTATGCACTTACAGCAGCCAGCTCTAGGTATGCATTGCTGACAGTCGCTCCCAGTCCATCCACTAGCACACGACAATTGAACTTGAACTGTAAAATACACTTTGTTATAGAATCCTGTAGTCCTGATGGGATTAGAGAAATTGTCACCAGTCGTTGGATTAAGGTTTATATTGAATGCATTGCGATCAATCAAATCATCCAAATTGATATTGCCATTGTCATCATTGTCAATGCTGGACACTAACAACTGAAATGAACCCTAGAAATAAATAATAAAGAGTAAAATACTTTAACTGGAATCATTATTATTGTAATTACATACTGGCCATGCATCGTTGCTAGAGAAAGTCAATGGATTTTGAGTATTAGCTCCAGGATAAAGCAAACCAGTTGTAGGAAAAGTCCTGTTGGTGCTCTCAAATGAAGAGGATGTTGTAATGGTATCCCAGCAGTTGTCAGTATTTGATGGGCTAAGATTGATAGCTCGTATGCAAAAATGAAAGTAAACATCACAGTCTGGGAATATAACATCACAGCTTCCGCCATCATAGTCTTCATCAGTAGGGTTTTCATATCTAACAGCTCTTATCCTTAGCACGTAGTCTGAGAAGCAAAAAGGACACTATACAAAAGAAAATATAAATATAATAATAATAATAGGGAGAGGAGTACAAGAAAAAGGTGCATGAATAACTTAAGTGCTCTGCTTACTGATAACAGAAAGAGGAGAAGATATACAGTGATACTCTTCATTATGCTTGCTTGTTACTAAACTGGATTTGGTTGTTGAGTATCCGTTTGCTTGATTGCTTTTATTGTACTGCTAGAAGTCAGTAAAATGTATGCATGGTATGAAAACACAGAAATTAGCTATGATCATACGATCATCATGTTATGCCATCATTGATATTTTCATTATATGACAAAACAGAAATAGGCATCTTTTAATTGTTGCATGCATGTAAACATGTTTATACCTAATGCATAATAAGATTTTCACTGTTTACATAATAGCCGTCAAATTAAGAATGAATAAAGTTAAAATATTATTTTATCTTCAAAAATGGTAACACGACTAATCCTGTTTATTCTAACTAGTACACAATACAAAGACACAGGGACTATCATGGGGACTATGTATTACATAATAGAAAATAGAATTACTATACAATTGAATCAATTGCTGTCATCTGCTTGAATCTATTAAGCTATTATGAATCATATTGAAAGTTTTTTACTAGCTTCATTGATTAAACATAAGGGTGTATAGCTCAACAGTTTATTTTAAGGAAAAAACAACAGTCAAAACACACACTGGTTTTAATAACATAGACAAATTATCTTTTCTCGTAATAAGAATATAAACCAAGCAAAACATAATTAGAAGCAAGAGTAGATATACTTTTGTTAGGAGTCATAGCTGGTACAATGAAAGATATCTCTACTGTTAATCCATTTCTTTTTTGGCTTCTTCTTTCAGTGACAGTGTTCACAGCTCTGTCTCAAAAAAAGGCTACCACTTACTATGTTCTGCCAAGTGATGCTGCATCAACCGATTGTCCTACTAAAAGTGGTGAGTGTCACAGCCTCTCTTATTATGCCAACACTCCTTACTTGGCCTCAAACTCCATTTTTATACTCCTGAAAGGAGAACACAGCTTGGACAGGCAATTTGCAATGGAAGGATTTGATAGTATATTTCTTAGAGCCCCCGAGGATATTAAATTGAAAGAAGGGCCTAATGAATTTACAATCCAGTCTGCTTCAGTTACTGTAAGATGTACTAATGACTCCTTCAAAGCTTTTTATATTATATCGGCAAGATTGGTTATTTTTGAAGGCATGACTATAACAGGCTGTAAGACAGCAGTTGTAATACAAAATGTAAGCTATTTCTATATGGAATACATGTTAATACAAAACAGCACTTTTATTGGAGTTTTTGGTGACTTTGCATATGGTACTAACAATTCACATAGCGAAATAATTTGTGCAATATACAAAACTTCTTTTTATCAAAATTGCATCCGTCCACCAATAATAGCTACAAATAAAGCATACAAAATATGCTCACATTTGTTTCTTAGCAGTAAAAGGCACCATCGGGCCATATCTTTCAATGTAACTCACTCAAATTTCTCATTTGGTGTGAACCAATATGCCTCTGTTCACTTGTCTCTGATAGAGAACAATCCTCCTTCAATTAACAATGGGAAACACATGTTTTTTTTCTCTAACTGTATCTTTGTAAATAATACTGTAAACAACTGTGGTGGCCTCTTCTTTACAGTATCAGCATACTCCAGGATTTTGATTTCAGTTTTTAAGTCTGCTTTCATGTACAACAGAGTAATAAACACAACAGAGTAATAAACACAACAAGAGAGTACACTGACAATTATATAAAATCATCTGGTGGTCTTTGCTTCACATTGGTAATGCATGAAGGAGCAATCTTTGTCAATGAATCTAGCTTTATTGGTAACATAGGCGGAGGTGCTTCATTCAATTACATTGGTAACGGCACTTATGGCAGTCAGTACTCACCATTCGTCATAATTAGCAATAGTGTATTTTTAGAGAATGAAGGAGATTTTGGAGCTGGGTTTTCTATGGTAGCAGAAAAATTTCCGTTTGTTTTGATCAATAATGTGTCAGTTGTTTACAACAAGAATACTGAAATTTCAGCTGGCTTGCAATACAGTGCAGTGCTATGTCTATGCACGAGCAGGGAGCAAGTTATAAAAGTTAATAAAGTTTTCATTTCTCACAACAACATGACAGGACTCTTAATAGTTAGCTGTCACGTTGATTTTATCTATTCAACCTCTACATTCAGTCACAACACATCACCATACAATGGCGGGGGGATATGGGTAGATAGAAACTCGTTTGTGCGAAGTTTATACTCGGGAAAACTGTTACTAGCTTATAACAAAGCAGAGGATTATGGAGGAGCTATATATTCTGAATCAGATCCTTTCCCTCACCAACTACAGCAGGTGACATTACGGAGTAAGTTTGGATGTACTATATCAGGAATCATTGCAGTATATATCAATAATACAGCCGGTATGGGAGGTCATGATGTTTATGGTGGACAGTTCTATCACTGTTTTTCAAATCAGATAAAAAACACTGATATCAAGAGCATTGAAGCCATTAACTGTAGCAGTAAAAGATGGCCCGTTTTTGCAAATATAAGTTCACCACTCTCATCTTACATTTCGTCGACTCCTTTTGGTGTTTGCTTATGCAAGGACAGTGTTAAAGCAAGCTGCAATGTAAGGACAATATGGAGGGAAGTGTATCCAGGTAGTGTACTCAGTCTCTCTTTGGCAACAGTTGGAATGTGTGGAGGAATCAGTCCAGGACAATTAACAATAAGTGAGTATAGTATCAATGTCACACTTGGGAGCTCTGATCAAACGAGACACCTACGGTGCATGGCCTCGCCCCTATAGCTGCTATGGTGCATGCCCGCACTTCAATAACTGTTTGATTATCAGCATGAAGAGAGTCTGCTCAACACTAGCTTCCTACAGTTGCACTTGCTCTTGAATACCTGCAGAAGTAGCAGCACTGCAGCACATACATGCAAGCAGCTCCAGCCCCTCCCATGCATGTAGATTGAAAGGTGTGGCATTCCATGACTGGAATGAGTGTCAGCAAGAAGACCATGTGAGAAAGAAGCTTCACTTTTTCTTTACTAATCAGCAATATATGATAAACTTGCTGACAAAAAAAGTTGCTGCCTTTGTATATTTGAGATAGTATAGGTACTTTAGCACCTATAACCCAGCAAGTTGTTGCTCTAGCGCTGCACAAACGAGTGACCTCAACAATTTCAAGTAAGTATAACTCTTCATCAAGTAAGATTTAGAGAAATCTGTTCATAATTTTTGAAGGCCATGTTTTAATCTACTGAAAAATGCTACCAGCTATCTCTAAAGTGCCAACACAACGGAACTTGGCCCAACTACTCGATTTTCTTACTTTGAAGCTTCTGTACCTAGCACTTGTATTTGAGCAACACAAAACAGTTACGAAAGACTTTTCCACGTCAAAAAGAAAGATATAGGAGCTTAGAACACGCTGTGCTAAAGTTATTGTTTATTAAAAACAAATTTCAGTTGTACAGAATGAATGAATGAATGAATGAACGAGAGCACTAAAGTGCATACCCTCGACACAATCTGTATGTAACAGTTTCAATAAATTAAGAGAAAATAATTGGTGAAAGTTTTGAGACAGAGAAGAAGCTTCAGCATGTACTAGATTTATTAAAACTTAGTAAATGTTTTGAGACAGACAGAGAATTTTTTGTTTTTTTTAGACAAAGAGCTCCAGCATATTTGCTGCACTGCTGCTAGCTAGCTAGCTGCAACAATGTAAAGGTGTGGCTGCAATGAAGGTGTGGCTCAATCAAGCCATGCTCCACCCCCACACACAGTAAATGGTGGCACATGGCCCTATGTGGCGAAGAAAGCTTTGGTTTTTCTCGACTTTTAAACAGTTTAGCATACATTTGTTAGGCTCTATTTGTTGCATACAAACTGCTATCTAGTCCCTAATGTTAAAAGACTCTGGCCGCTACCTCGGGAGAAGAGAGCCTCGTCTAAACTCACAAGGTATGAAAGTTTGGGCTATCATATCTTTAAAACGAAGACGTTTGGAACAATTTCTCTCATATTAATGAAAGATGGGGCTTTGCTTTATTGTTTTATCTGCCCTGTTGCTTATTTGCTTTCACTACGAAAGAGCTGCAGGAGAGCCGACTACGTTTGGCGACTTTGCCAGCTTCTTTTACCACGGAAAAGACAAATCAAGGATTCCCAAGACGGAGAATAACTTTTTCTAGAGCCAGTGTTGATTATAAGACTCTCCAGGACAAGACAAGAAAGCAGTGTCAGCTCAAAAGTGGAGGTCAAAGCGAACACACAGACAGGACGACTGCTTTACCCTCGACTACGCCTACGCGGTCTCGGGTAATGACAGACACACACAACAACTACCTATACCTCGCGTAGGCGAGGCCAATGACACTCCCGTGGGTGTGCAAGACTTTTACGTACAAGTTGAATCAAGGGATCTCTTCAACTGGGTACTTTACCATTAAAACTGGAAGCTACGAGTTAAGAAATGCATCCATTGTGGTAAGGGTCCAATTCTTAGACTGCCCTTCTGGTCTTATCCTAACTGATTCTGGTACTTGTGATTGTAACTCCATCATTTCCTCAGTACCAAACTTAAAGTGCAATGTGTCTTGGTTTGATACTCCTATAAGAAGATCAGGCAATGTTTGGCTAGCATATGACACTGCATGCAATTGCTCAATAGTTAATGATGTTTGCCCATTTGATTATTGCAATAGCTCTACTGTATATCTCAGTCTTGATGACCCACACAGACAATGTGCACTGAATAGATCTGGAGTATTATGTGGAGGGTGTCAGCCAGGACTCAGTCTCATGTTAGGTTCTAATAAGTGTCAATACTGCACTAACAAGTACCTATCTTTGCTTATTGGTTTCATTATGGCTGGGATAGTACTCGTTGCATTTCTGCTAATTTGTAATTTGACTGTATCTGCTGGCAGCATCAATGGGTTATTGTTTTATGCTAACATTGTGAAGCTCAATGAGGTTGTATTGTTTAGAAATGGAGCATCAATACCAGTCCTGAGCCAGTTCATTGCTTGGACTAATCTTGACCTTGGTATAGAGACTTGTTTTTTTAACGGGCTTGATGGCTATTGGAAGACATGGTTACAGTTTATATTTCCAGTGTACATATGGCTGCTAGTGGGGGCCATCATAATCGGCTCTTATTACTCTGGTAGACTTTCCCGTATATTTGGAAACAACACAGTACCAGTGCTAGCCACACTGATCCTCATGTCCTATTCTAAGCTGCTACGTACCATCACAAATGCTTTAATGATCTCTAACATCAAATGCAAGGACGACAAAAGGAGGGTATGGAGCGTTGATGCCAATATTGACTATCTTGATAATAAGCACATGATTTTATTCGGAGTATCAGTAACTTTCTTAATGATAGGTCTATTGTACGGAGGTATGATATTCAGTATACAATGGCTCCAAAAGTGTACTGGAAGATATTGTAAGTCGTCACGTGACCCCATAGTGAAACTGAAGCCCTTGGTAGATTCATACACAGGCCCATATAAGGACAGGTATCGCTACTGGACTGGTCTTCTTGTGTTTATACGTGTCATACTCACTGCTCTGTTCTCGTATACGACACAAACAAAGCCCGAAATAAACAATTACATCATTGTTTTTGTTTGTGTGTTGTTGATCAGAATAGCTGCTAAAGGCATATACAGGAACTCTGCATTGAATAATTTAGAGTTTTTCCACTACTTTAACTTGCTCTGCATCAGCATGTTAAATGCAGTTTCACACCAAGAACAATGGAATATCGAGAGCCTCTACTTTACCATTGCCTCCATTAGCTTTTCAATGATCCTATTTATAAGTACAGTCCTCATTCACATTTATGTTAAATTGGAAAATAAATTTGGGAGACCAAAATGCTTAAAGTCAAAATTCTTCTCCAGCTATGACGAGGAAGAGTATCATGTTCATGATTACCGCCGCTTGATAGAAGATGAATATAGAGATGAGGATTCAGATAAAGAGGGATCACCACCTCGCGTTATCCAGCGTAGAGAATCAATGATATTTGATTTTCACATTGACAAACGAGAGAAAGTAGTTGAGAGTCCTTTGATAGAACTTTAACTAATTTTTTTAGCATTTTTTTGAATAGTGAACAAAAATTAATAAAACTAAAAAAATACAATAATGATAATGATTTCAAATTTTCAACTATAATGCAATACATGTAACACTAATGTACAATATCTTATAGTCAATGCATGTCCAATAATGAATGATGATGCATTTAAGTGTGTATAAATATGCATGTATGTATCAATGTATGTATCAGTGTATGTATCAGTGTATGCATCAGTGTATGTATCAGTGTATGTATCAGTGTATGTGTATCAATGTATGTATATGCATTACGTGTAACACTAATGTACAATATCTTATAGTCAATGCATGTCCAATAATGAATGATGATGCATTTAAGTGTGTATAAATATGCATGTATGTATCAATGTATGTATCAGTGTATGTATCAGTGTATGCATCAGTGTATGTATCAGTGTATGTATCAGTGTATGTGTATCAATGTATGTATATGCATGTGAAAACTCTTTAGTTTAATGTGTCAATCCAAGGTCTTATTAATGCCAAAAAACTTTTCATTTGTACGCAACAGAAACACAGGAATTAAGAGACAATGCTATCTGCTCAATCTTTCACTGATGTGTGCTCAGTGCAATTGAAACAGACATGACTTCTGCATTAATACTGATACTGTTGATAGCTCCTGGAAGGGACACACATACAGCAGTAGTAGAAGTATCAAGAGAAGGAGAGCAAGGTTCACTTTCTGGTACTGCAGCACTTTGAACTGGTAAGTGTTGTGTTGTACTGGTGGTAGTTGAATGGCGTGGTGCATTGTTAGGCTCAATTGAGTGTTGTGGTGATGAATGGAGAGATTGTTCAACTCCAAGTCTCACTGCTGTAGGGTTTGATGAATAATGTACCGGTTCACCTGTGATTACTACTTCATTGACACGCGATCTTTTGTACAGCCATAAGAGGCAAAACCCAATCAATCTAAAAGAGAGAGAGAGAGAGAATAAAAAGAGGAGTTTTTAATAGTAATAATTATTACTTTAATAGTATGACGTCTATGACGATAATGGTCGATGTGACAGCAACACGACCGGAGAGAGAAGGAATCAAGTGAATAAAAGAAGACATGCTTGAGACAAGTATGAAGACAAAAGCAAGACCTAACCCAACACCCCAATGCCTAGAGAGAAAGAGGAGGAGGAAAGAAAGGAAGATGGATAATATATACATGTACATGTACATGCAAGATGTAAGAAAATTTTTAAAGGTTTCGATTCATCAACATGTAGGATGGCGTACTTTGATTTAACTTCGTTTGAAGGAAACCTCCATTTCTTTTTGACGTAAGCATATCTCTTCTTGCACACCTGACACTGGAGAGCACTCCTTTGAGAATCATTGCTAGCTCTCTAAAAATTATCAATTATAATTATGAATATTCTCGTTGCTCCTTATTTATGTTATGCATTATTATTAGCAGACGTACCTCAGCTACCCATCTATTAAGACAAGCTCTGTGGACGGCGGGGCAGCTGCAGGGTCGAAATAAATCACTGACTTCGCCAGAATCAAGGCATATCCAACAATCAGGGGATGCATTGTCATTAGACGAATCTTTCAAATAAAATAAATACTTATCAATTTTAACTTATAAACCAGCTCTTATGTACATGTATGTAAGAAAATCAAATATGGTAATCTTATTAAGTTTGAAGTGATGTCCGATTAAATTTTTACAAGTTTTGTACAAGATTTAGACTACTCTATGAGTGAGATTTACCTTCTCTTGTGTCAGTAATGGTTCCATAGCCCTCATTTGAGGACTGATTGGCAGTAATAAGTGAATCTGTTTCGCCTTTTGAATTATATCGAGGCTGAAGTAAGAGCCCAGGATTAAGGACCCACAAAGTTGTAGGCCTGGGAAGAATAAAGGAAAAAACAAAAAAAGAGAGAGAGTGTAAATATAAAGTATAAAATATAAATTAAACAGGCTCAGAAGGATGGAGCTTTTCCTATAAAAGCATAGAAAAATAGTCTTGTCCAAATTCAAGGAAATAAGATAAAACAGGGATGCATACATTGTACATGTACATTGTACATGTACATGTATAGATGTACATTGTACATGTACATGTATAGATGTACATGTAGTTATTCATATTACTATTATACATGTATATTTGTACCTCTTAAAGTTCCAGAGGCAGCAGCAGAACCAAATGGGTAAACCCAGTTCAATAATGTGAATTACCATACTGCTGGTGTAGAGAGAATGGGAATCAACTGATACATAATGACCGATCACATTCAGTATGAGGAGAATGATTATTATACACTAAAAAATAAAAATACTTGTAACAGATATGATTTAGATCGGAATCAACTGAAACTTTCTACGCAACATAAGTACATGTATACATGTATGTATCAGAAAATAATTATAAAATTATCTCCTAGCCAATTTTCTTTTTATTTATAATTTAAACTCACTTGCATCACGGCAGATGATAATATTCCAACTATAGAACTGATCTGAATGTTTAAATTAATCTTGTGATAAATAAATAAATCTGAGAGAGGCCTCCAATCAGGCTATAAAAAAAACAAAATAATATTAATTATTTTAATAAAATTTTTTTATCTTACTCTGAAGAATAATCTGACAGCGTAGTGCATAAAACCTGCTAGCATTATCAATAACAGAGTTGCAAATATGACGGCCAGCACAATACTCTTCCTAGCCTAAAATATTTAAAATTATACACTTAATTTTTTTTTCATTTTTCAATTTTTTGCATACCAGTTCAACCTCGTTAACAAGGGGTGTGGCTATGATGTCACTGAGTAGAAGTAAATAGACCAGTAAGTTGAATACAGTGCAGGCAATGAAGTAATGGGTCTTGTTTAGGAAATGCTGTGTGTGAGACACTTCAGTGTTATAAAATAACTAAAAAAGAAAAAAGAAAATATTCCAATAAAAATGCCACGTACATGTAAATACATGTATATGCCCATGATTTCCTTTAAAAATGGGTCGGAAATTACCTCAAATTTTTATTACATTTTCTGATACATATTGATGTACTTATGTGATGTAGAAAGTTTGAGGTGATTCCGACTTCAATTTTTCAAGTTATAATCATTTTTAAAAATTGGCCAATTTAAAAAAAAAATCCCTGTACTATAGCCCATGGTTTTTTCTAAAAAATGGCTCCGAAATCACCCCCAATTTTTATTACATTTTTTGATACATATTGATGTACTTATGCTGTGTAGAAAGTTTGAGGTGATTCCGACTTCAATTTTTCAAGTTATGGCCATTTTTAAAAATTGCCCAATTTAAAAAAAATTCCTGTACTATAGCCCATGGTTTTTTCCAAAAAATGGCTCTGAAATCACCCCCAATTTTTATTACATTTTCTGATACACATTGATGTACTTATGTGATGTAGAAAGTTTGAGGTAATTCCGACTTCAATTTTTCAAGTTATGACCATTTTTAAAAATTGGCCAATTTTTAAAAAAATCCCTGTACTATAGCCCATGGTTTTTTCTAAAAAATGGCTCCAAAATCACCCCCAATTTTTATTACATTTTCTGATACATATTGAAGTACTTATGCTGTGTAGAAAGTTTGAGTCGATTCCGACTTCAATTTTTCAAGTTACGGCCATTTTAAAAAATTGGCCAATTTTTGAAAAAATCCTTGTACTATAGCCCATGGTTTTTTCCAAAAAATGGCTCCAAAATCACCCCCAATTTTTATTACATTTTCTGATACATATTGATGTACTTATGCTGTGTAGAAAGTTTGAGGTGATTCCGACTTAAATTTTTCAAGTTATGACCATTTTAAAAAATTGGCCAATTTTTGAAAAAATCCCTGTACTATAGCCCATGGTTTTTTCTAAAAAATGGCTCCGAAATGACCCCCAATTTTTATTGCATTTTCTGATACATATTGATGTACTTATGCCGTGTAGAAAGTTTGAGCCAATTCTGATTAAAACTTGCCGAGCTAAAAATAATTACATATTGATAACACATTAACTGTATTACATGTATATACATTGTGCCTTTCTTACTTCAGCCCAGAAGCAGATGAGGACAGAGAAAGCCGTGATAAGTGTTGGATAATAAATATTATGCAACATATTGGCCCATCTCTCTGGTATACCATACAACTAAAAACAAAAATATATTTAAAAATTATAAAATTATATATATATTATTTCTCTTACCTGTACTGTAAAGTAAATAGCTCTAGTACCTGTGGCGGCTATGACAGTGCCCAGTATACACTTTTGTATGGTGATTCGAAACGCCTTCTTCCACTTCTCTTCTTGAGAAGCAGCTGGATCAACCAATGAATCGCTGATCATACATAATATCTGGAAGATAAAAAAGAGAGGGAGAGAGTGTGCGTGAAAATAGAAAATAAGTAAGATTAGGATAAAGTTTGGCAGACTGTCTCTTACCAGTTGTACTGATGCGATAAAGAATATTATATAAGAAAAAACAGCAAATACAGTGAGGTATCCTTCGTTAAGACTTTCACAAGAGTCACCACCAAAAATAACCTACAAAATTAATATATATACATGTACATGTACTTTAATCTCTCATTTAAAATGAAAATTAGCAAAACTTTACTCCATAACAAAAGGCTATAATGAAAGTCAACACAAAGCGAAGAGAGTCAAACATGTCAAAGAGAGAGGTGGGTGGAAGTCTGGCATAATTAAATAAGTCCCTCTCTAACCACAACAAGGAAATAAGATTAAAAATATCCTAATGTGTTTAGCTAGTAAGATAATACTTCCTTTAAAATACAAGAAATGCTAATGATGAGCCAGAATGTAACAGCTTGTGCCAAATATTATTAACAAAAATTAATTTTCAAAAGATGCATTGCTATGACAACTAAAATGACTGAATGAGTGATTGAGAAGGAGGCTAAGGCTCATTATAAATAGAATTAACAGATAAAAATGAAATAATAAGAGCACGTGGGATTGTTATTTAAGAGCGTAATGTGATTCATATCACCAGTTGGGATTATATAATGAAATCACTAGCCTCTCAATTTACAGTGTACACACTAGGTCAGAGGACAATAGATTAGGCATGTGACTATCACACCATTCACTGTAATAGTATAACCTCTCTTAACAAACACTCCTCATAGGGGATGCCTCCATCTAATAGTGTACTATAATAGCTTCCACATAAAGGACAATAAACATCCCATTATCCTATCCATTATTGCAATTGTATGTACAAGTAGCTGATCAAGAGCAGGCAGGAATAAATCAATTGATGCAAGCAACAAAATTCTTCAAATAACTATACATACATGTACATGTACTGTAACGGCTAGCAAGTCTTGGCAAGCAGCACTTTCGTCCTACTGTCATAAACTGTACAGGAGCCAAGGATCATAATAGTAGTACTAATAAAACGTACGTGTACATAAATGTACGGTCCATTCCATGCGCATTAACATAAACAAGGATGCGTTTGCTTGCTTTAATGAAGAACAACAAAGTTGTACATTTGTAAACAGAACATCGAAAGGCATGACACATACACACATAATCAATTCTCGCTTTCCTTTTCATTTTGCCCCCCCCCCTACATCTTTCTCTGCCATAATTACTTTCTAATAAGCAACTTAGAATAAGAGATACTGTATCTATATGTCTACCTAAGGCTAGCTTCCTTTACCTTCTTTACAGTCTTACCTCACACTCACAGACGCCAGCTTTACAAGTTCCCTGAGGAAAGGAACAGTTAGCGGGGCCACAATCAAGGAGAGAGCCCGCTACTCCCGTAACGTTAACGAAATGAATAGACTCATTCAGTCCCATTTAGGAGCTGTATATGATATTATAAAGAAGAGTTCTATTAGAAGTCAAAGACTCAAAGGTAAAAGCACCCTTGCTGTCTTATCGGGATGTCGGGAATTTTTATTGTCATCTGACCACGCCCATTAATTATCACGACTAGACAAAAATGCTCTTTTCTGTAGACAGTCTACCATCATGAATTGATAGAATGGGATTGATGCTAATTTACACACAGCTTCTGAACAATGAGGCTGGATGACACTTCCATCCCTCAGTCTGCACCAATGAATGGAAACAGTAGATGCATTATTCTGTTCTATGTTTGCATGGTAATATCTATCACTGAAAAGCCTGGCAAAAGTCATTAAAGATTTCCTCCTCATTACCAAAACTTGTATGACTGAGGAAATAACAGCACCTGTAACTACAGAGAGAACATGAAAATACATGTAACCTAACATTCTTGGCACATGCTTCACATACAGTAAACAACGATTGTTGAATGTAGGCTAGCTGCAGGTGAATCTAAAAAAACCTATGTAACATGCATCTTTACCATAAACTACAACAAGAGATTGGAAAAACAATTCAGCTCAACAAAAAGCATGCACCTGTGATTCTTTTCTTCTCTTTCAACTTTTTTTAATTTCAAAACAACGTTTACTGTCAGAGTAAGCAAAACACTGCAGGTGCTGGCCAGCACATCCTTGCAGACACCCCACAACAGTAAACAATAAATCAAAATGACTATAAAAGAGGAGCAGGCTAGACTCCAAATCCATCATTCGCTCATCGAAGAAACCTAAAGTATTATTCATACTCACTCTACCTCTCATTCAAAAATGGCCCAAACCCAAAAGAGGATTCTCTTCGTCTGCACTGGAGACAACTGCAGGACAATACTAGCACGTGCAGCAGCTCTCAAAAATGAGGGCCCGGAAAGTCGGTTTATCTTTGAAACTGCTTCATGCTCAACCGAAAGCAAAAAATTTGTAGCTGAGCCAAAGGTGCACCAATCCGTCTTGAATGCGATTAAAAAGAAATGCCCCGAAGAGTATCGCCTCATCAAGGACTACGTTCCACGTCCTCTCTCGAAAGAGATGGTCTCAAAGATGGACAGGGTCTACTTCTTGTGCAGTGCTTGCATGGATACTGCAAAGGAGCTGATACCAAGAGAGTATCATGACAGGATGCAGTTCTACTGCACGTACAAGAGCAGGATCAATAGCAGGGAGCTGCATGAAGTGCCGAATCCTATCAACGGGAACAACTGGAGAGACTACTACGATAGGGACCGCACCACGGAGGTTGAGACTGACTCTGTGACACTCTTGGAGTCCATGATCAGTCAGTTACACCCAGCCCTGAAAACTAATGACTTGAGTAAATTGTGAACATGGACGCCGGAAGAAATACAAGGACTTGATGGTTAAAACTTTAAAATATATATAATTATGTATAGGAAAAATGTGTGTTTTCATTCACTATTACTGCTATAGCTTTTTTTGTTAAATCTTTGATTTGTGCTTTTTTGGTTAATAAATTTATTTGAACTGAATTCAATGATACTAATATCACATACAGTTATACGCACAGAGATACTAACATGACTATACGAAATTATGACTCCAATCACATGCAAATAAACTCAATATTTTTGAAAAAAAACAACAACAATCATATCAAATCAATCCAACGCACACAAAATATTAATTAATAATATTATTAATAACTGGAATTAATATAATAAGCATGTGAATGAGATAATAGTTGTGCAATAATAATAATAATAATAATCATAATAATTGCAACTAAATGTACATGCTATTATGTTATAAAATTAATTTAAATAATAATAATAATAATAATAATAATAATAATAATAATAATAATAATAATAATAATAATAATAATAATAATAATTTCAACCTAGATAAAGTTCCCAGTGTATTTTCATGCTATAAAACTTTGCGTGGGTTTTTTCTTAAGATGTGCAGGTTCGACGATATTAAAGTACTCTAGTATATTCATGAAAACGCCACGAGAGAAAGGATTGTGGAAGTGACCGTGGACGTCGCGGAAATGTCTGTATCTTTTATGGTTTGCTCTTTCATTAGTAGTCATATTGACAAGCATTAGCATCCACTAAAAATAATAAGACACGTAATGATAATAATGAACAAAATTTTAACTTGAACATTCACATTAGTTTAAGATAAAAAACATTTAATGAACACAATTTAAAAGTGGATTTTTTGCATTACATTATTAAGTTAAATATTATATCAGCTACTATTAGCAATTCTAAACAAGGACTCTATACTTAAATTTTATCAGGTTAATAAGAAATTTTGAACTATTATTTATTATTCTTAATAACTTACCACGTATCCCAACATAATGATGACAGGGAAGCTGAAAAAGATGAGACTTATTATTCCGATATAAACGAAGAACCCACCCTGACCGGCTTTAAGAACCTGGTACACCATTAGGTACGTCAAGCAGCCATCAAACAGCATGATGTGGACAAAGAAAAAGAACGGGACTCTAAAATGAAAGCAATATCAAAAATTTTCTAATTAATGCCCAAATTTCTAATTAGTGCTCAATGTTTCTAATTAATGCCCTCACCACACACCTGTTTTTAATCCCGACACAGTTATCAATCCATGGACAATGGTGGTCGAAATGGTCCACACACATGTTGCACTGGCGGCAGTGTTTGGAGCGAATCGGTCGAACGGTTTTACATGTGTGACACATGTTGTATACCGGATTGTGTAAGTCATTATATTCACCCCAAGAGGTAGGATCACCAACCTACACGTACACGTATAGGAAAAGGAAGGAAGTAAAGAAAGAGAGAATCTAATCAAAATTGAATTTTTTAATGAATTTTTGAAGCTGCTTCAAAATTGGGCCAAAGTCCCTGTACTATAGTACACGGTCTCAGGCCCAATTTTGCCAAAATTGAAAAGGAGAGGGTTCTCCATTTTTATAATATTTTCTGATACCTATACATGTTCTTATGTTGTGTAGAAAGTTTGAGCTGATACCGATCAAAATTGAATTTTTTAATGAATTTTTGAAGTTGCTTCAAAATTGGGCCAAAGTCCCTGTACTATATATAGTACACAGTCTCGGGTCAAATTTTGCCAAAATTGAAAAGGAGAAAGTTCTCCATTTTTATAATATTTTCTGATGCGTATACATGTTCTTAAGTTGTGTAGAAAGTTTCAGCTGATTCCAATCAAAATTGAATTTTTTATGAAGCTTTAAAGTTGCTCCAAATTCAACCTGTCATATATGCTATAAGCCTTTTAAGCTCATTTAGCATGCTTTGTGATTAACCCAATAAAAGTATGCAGTCACTTACTAGTTTCTGCGCTCGTTCAAATGCTTCTATATTAGGTTTGATAAAGCCAGGGTTACTCAGTTTGAGCCAAACAAAGAATATCCATAGTAGTATGTTACCGATAATAAAGGAGTGGTGTAGGGTCGGTGAGGTCTCAAATGTAAGGGGAACAACCTGATAAAAATATAAATAATAATATAACAATATAACAACAATAATAATAATAATAATAATCGTACTTTCCAATAATACATAGGGTAGCCCCAAAACAGAATGGCACAGACAAAAAAAGTGACGGAAACCCTTTGACGAGATGGCGGACCAAATACCCAAGTCCTGTGACAAATAAATACATAATAGATTTTCGAAGACTCATCACTCTTGACTCACTTCCAATCCCATAATTGCGTAGGAATGTCCCTTCCATCTAGCAGCTGGACTAATCGATGATGTCTCCTCTTGATTGCAAGCATCCTTGGGGTCTTCTCATTATTATCAACGTCATCTATTGAAGCACCCTGCATTTAGAGAGATAGAGAACAAAATAAATAAAAAGAGAAAATATTAAATAAAAGAAAACATATTTGTAAAGGAAGTAGTTTGTAATAAAGAAGTAGATGAGGACATCAGACATCCAAGGAAGGACAAAAGTCCCATCACCAACACAATGAAGTGTCTATGGTGGAAACTGCGAATGTAATGGAAAAATTCATCACACGTCCTCACACCCATGCAAGCTACTCCATACATAACAGGTTTATATACCAGTGTGTAAAAACATACTGAGGCACTTGTGGGTTGTCATGTGTGGTTAGCAGCAATGAATATCGTTAGTGCATGGTACTTGGTAAGGTTTTCGTGCTTACATGTTCCAGTAACATTTCGGCAACTTGGATGTCGCCTTTGATACAAGCAGAATGCATTGGAGTCTATAAAAGACAGGGCAAGGAAGTATTATTAAAAGATGAGGCATAAAACATCCTTTAAATACTTGAGCATAAGAATCTTTCTGTTTAGGATCCAAACCAGCATTTAGTAATAAGAATACGATTTCAGGAAAACCTAAAAAAATACATCAAAAATCGAAATATTGTCTCTCTCTTCTTCTCTCAATACCTTTAAAAGCGGCCCAATGTAACGCAGTATCTCCGTTAATATCAACATGAAACTTATTAGCTCCTTTTTGTAAGAGGTAACTCAGTACCAAAGACTGACCGTACTGGGCAGCGATGAGCAACGGAGAGCAACCATTAAGATCTGACGTGTCAATATGGACACCTTTTTCAAGGAAGAGGTCGACGGTGACCACGTTACCATGGACACAGGCCCAGTGAATAGGTCGTGGTCCGTAGTCGTTGTCGCTGTGTTCATTAATGGGTGCCCCCCTCTCCATTAGAAGCTCGCATATCTCGTTGTAACCTCCGAGGGCAGCCCAGTGAAGAGGGGAGTGGCCTTCTTGGTCACGCCCCTGAATGAGGTCGTCTGATATTGGCTCGTTTAGGATCTCACGAACTTTTTTAATAAAACTAAGGAAGGATTAATAAATAATTTAAGATGAGCTATTATTAGCTAATTAAAAATTAATTAAACTATTATTAATTAATTATGTCTATTTAAAAAGCATAAATGTCTTCATGTGCAAGGATTAGACGATACAAATGAATGATACAAATAAAATAGAACAAGTCTGACATGCGTGGGACGACATCTAATCAAATATTCCCGCCCTTCAGAGGCTGGGACCCTTACCCGTTCTTGATTGCAGTGACGAGCTCCTTCATCTTCTTTTGCTCCTCTGTATCCTCTTCCTCTTGGGGGGCCACGGCGTATTCCTCCTCGCTCTCAACATCACTGTCTCCAAGAGGCAATGACTGTCCCTGATAACTGACGGCCATCTTTAAGTAGGCGTAGGTTTACACGTGGTAAAAGTAGGAGGGGCCAAGTAAGAAAAGAGGAGTGGTTTGTAGGTGTTTTAAAAGATGGCTGCCTGGAGACAAGCTCTTTCAAAAAACCTGAGAGAAGTCAGGATCCATCTTTGTCAAACGTCTGAAAGCAGCAGAGGCGTCAGGCAAGTTTTAATATCATTTCCACGTTTGCATCTAAGCATTAATAAAAGTTTTATCACTGTCTTTCTGCTAGTCTTTCATATTCCTTAATATTTTTCTCAGGGATTTTATTGAAACTCATTACGTCAGTTTAAAAAAAGACAATCCGAACTTTCCATTTCTTATTCGAGAATGCAGTGGAGTCGAACCAAAAATCTATGGGAGATACAGTCAGCTTTAAATAAATATAAACAATTTTTATATAATTTTATACATTTTCTTATTTTTTGTAGATTATGGACAGGAAAATTGCATATCACTAACAAATAAGTCAAGTGAAGAAGTATTAAAGTCATTAGAAGGCTTAGCAAATAGCTCTGGACAGTAGTACACGATAACTTATAAATATTAGCAATGTATTGTGTAGCTTTCATCAGGAATCCATAATGTAGGGCTCCTGCTTTCATGTATGACCATTAAGAATTTATGACCACTGAGAGATGTGTCAAAAATGTCAAATTTACATACCACGTGGTTTTTGTATACTTCCGGATATGAGCTCGTCTATTTTTAGTAACAAGAGGAGGTGATGTCATGGCTGCATATGATTTTTGCATGCCCGGATGCTGATATGAGCACGTAAGCTAGTGAAATCACAAATGCAGGAAGAAGGAATAGCTATATAAAGAAATCAAGCTCTCAAAAAGTAAAGACAACCAGAAATAAAGCTACATAGCTCTAAAAGCTTCAATAGAACCTATAAAATACTACTAAAAGATGGCAGCTCCACCCCAACAAGGTCTAAATGAGTTCACATTCATGTCAGAGTGGCTCTCCAAAGAAGACGCAGACAAGTACATGTCTAGATGCATGACCGAAATACCATGGGCACCAAAGAAGTGGAACATTATCTACACTCTGCCCCAGCTGGCTCATTACTATGATACTTCAAAGCGTAAGAAAGCCCCTATCGCCGTCCTGGAAGAAATAATCTCAATGATAGAGAAGGAGTACCAGACAACAGTTAGTGTCGTTTGGTGTAACCTCTTCCAAGATGGCAACCATTACATTGATTGGCATCAGGATCAATATGGGGAGCATCTTTTTGTCCTCTCATTTGGATCAACTCGCCCTGTCGTCTTTCGACACAAGAAGACGAAGGAATGTAAGGAATATTCCTGCCGTCATGGTGACCTTTATTATTTTGCTCCTTCATGGGACAAGGCTCATGAGCACTGTATTCCAAAGGATGAAAGTATCACTGAAAAGAGACTCTCTTTTGCTATATTCTGCCAACCACCTTTTTCTGGAGGGACATCTCATAAAAAATAAAGATATACTCAATGCATTCATATAACAGTCATTTTATTTTTTTATTTTTAGCAAAACTTGATTCAGTGTGTTATTTTCATTATCAATAACTAATTTTATAACTTTTAATAAGTTAAACCACGCCTACATTGCTTGGGTTTTTAATGGGTGTGGCTATTGTTAATTAAATTAATAACTAGCATGTTTTTAAAGATGGCGCTATCTTCTGGGCCTAGTTCTTCTCTTGAAGGGAACCAGCAGTCACTACCAGATAGTCTTCTAGTGACACCAAGCCGACCACAGCAACGAAACACTACTCCAAATGAGGCTGGGAGGGAGACTGTCCCTACAAATGGAGCAGAGTCCATGGTGAGAGAAAATTCAAAGCTTTTTTAATGCCAAGATTTTCTTTTTTTAGATGAATCAGTTCTTTTCTCACCCTCCATCATTTACCGATACTATTTTACAAGATCCACCTCAGCCTCAGCTTAGCGCCGCTCAACACAAGCTTTCTCATCTTTTTGAGAACGAGGTACAGGCGTACGAACACCTAACAGAGGTAAATAAATAAATAAATAATATTGATCCATTTTACCAAGAGTAGATAATAGAAGAGAGTGTCCTACTGTGATATACCCCCTGCTTCATCACGTCGTAGAATTGAAGAGTCACATTCAGGATATTTTCAGTATTTTATTTGAGTAGTTATTATATTGCTAGTTATTTTTGAATAACTACT